CGGCATTCCCCCGGAGGAACTGGAGGAAGTGTCTGGAGAGGGAAGTCTGGGCATCTTTGCTTAGACTGCTGCCCCTGAGACCCAGTCCCGGATAAGCGGAGGAAAATGGATGGATGGATGGATGGATGGATGGATGAACAGTTTCTACCCATGTTCACTTACCCAGAGACTTCTGTGTGACATTTGTCAGTGTTACTCTGATGTGTCATGTGAAGCCATGTAAGTGCTTTAGTTACATCTGTTTCATGTGCAGCTGTAGTGGAATTATTAGCTTTAGCTCTAGATTTGCTAACATTCTCTGAAGCTGCTAATGTGAATTTGTTTTAGTTTCCCCTTTGATGCTAAATACAAGCTAGCTTCTTCAAGTGATACAGTAATGACGGGCAATAAAATATTTATGATGGCTTTTGGGGGAATACATTGGGGGAGGACATAGTTTATTCATAGCCCAAATGCACACCCTTGTGACATTTGAAGAAGAAGCTTTATTTATTGTCATTGTAACATTGTGACACGTGTAACAAAATTATGCTTGGAGCCGAGGGCCCTGGGCCACTGCATGCATACGCACCGCCATCATGGGCAATGGGGGGATTCAGCCCAAGGACACTTCGACATGTGGACTGCAAGCTTCGAGATTCGAACCTTCAACCTTCTGGTTGGGAGATTGCTCTACCCACCGCACCACTGTCACCTCCCCACATTTGTACAACCCCAAATCAAAAAAAGTTGGGACGATATGCAAAATCAAAATGTTGTGTCGGGTGTGTGGTTTGGACCCAAGATGCAGACTCAGAAAGCAGGCAAGGGAGTAACTATCAAAAGAAGTTTATTAAATAAATAAATTGTGATGGCTGACAAGAGGTCGAGTTGGCAGAAAGTGCAGCAGGCAACGGAGGCCAGGCTGGGCAAGAACCAGGAGAATCAGACCAGGACAGGCAGGTGGCATGGCTGGTAGACAGCAGAAAAGCAGAGGACCAGAGGAGCAGGACATGCAGGGGAGCTGACTGGTGATGGCAGGTAGCAGGAGGAACGTTGGGCTCTGGCACTGTAGTTGACAAGCAGACAATCACAGCATCGGACCATTGGCTCCACAGTGTAGCGGGCACAAAGGAGAAGGACACAACACGCGGAAGTGGCAAGGAGTCGGAAAATTAAGAGTCACAGGTGAGGATTGAACAACACATGTTGCCAGGAGATCAGGAAATAAAGCGATTAATGATGAGCGCCCGGTGACTAACAAAAAACTATACACGATACTGAAGCGGTAATGAGAACTCAAAAAACAACAAAATGCACAGTGCAAACAAAAGACAGAAAACAAACCGTGAGCCATAGAACCAATTGTGGAGCAAACTCAGAGTGGATCAGCATGAAAATCGGAGAAACGTGGCAGTAAAGACTGGAGTGGGGTGAACATCAGGGTGTGCAGGTCAGGACATGTAATCGCCAATGAACTAAATCATCTTGTGTTCTGTATTACATTGAAAACAACACAGCAGCACATTATTTGATGTGATGCATCATCAACTTTATTCTTGTGCTGAGCATCCACTTTACTCAAACTCCCTCCTCATCCAAGGAATCCCTTGGATCTCATCTTCCTCTTCTTAAACCATGACCGACTCCAAGCCATCTTTGTCCTCGGGACCTTTCACACCACGTATAGGCCTCCTGTGCGAGGGAGGTCTCATTTCCTTTTGATCACCTTCACATACACAACATCTCCTACTCTCACTTTGGACTCTCCATCCTCCTGGGCCTCTCTGACCTGCAAAGAGACAACACACAGGCCACACAGGAGTGGAGTTTTCTTTTATTAGGATGTCGAACCTGGTATTAATGTTGCAAAATAGTACTATATATATAGTGATAACACTAAGGTCTAGACCTTACTCTGTAAAGTGTCCTGAGATGACTTTTATTGTGAATTGGCGCTATACAAATAAAATTTGATTTGATTTGATATAGACCACACACAATGAGCCACCACCCCATAGGCGTGGTCCTGTCGACGCAACTCCTACAACAAAATATTTACATAGTCTGGGAGAGTCAAAGCCGGTGTGCACTACAACAGTGATTAATTCAACAATTCATGTTCAACTTTATGATATATACCATATATTCTCTTACCATGGTTGATGCAGGAGCCCCAGCTACTGCCTTAAACTGTACTGCAATTTATTCAAAGAAACTTTATGTTTTCATTCAGCTAACATTATTAACAGGGTCATGAAGTCCTTATGACACGTTTTATAGTCCAGTACAGACAAATAATATCCTCAACGTACTGGAGGACAGTACTTGAGATCTTACCTGCCAATTTCCTCATGTACTCCTGCAGAATCTTATTAAACACAATGAGAACAACGGTACTCTGCAAAATGCAGAGCACAAATCAATCATAGTAAACCACTTGACCTCAGGTGGAACATTTACCAACACTGCAAGTAAATTTGGAGCTTCAGTTTAAAAATCCTCTGCGATCTCAAATAAAGATCTATGAGCTTTTATACATTATATATACTTTTGTCAACTTTCATCACAGGCAAGATTGAAGTATTACTGCATAAATTTTACTCTGGAATCACTGAACCTACATATTCTGGCTCAGTCTATATTCACCACAATGTGACATGTAGAATGCTGTTTTATCCCTTTTTCCTATTCTCATCGCAGCTACCTATTTCCCTATCACAATAAGAGAAAACTATATTTGAACCTCCTGTTTCTTGAGCCAAATATCTGGCTGTACATTAAACTCAGTCTTAAACTA